GTAGTTTCTCAGCGTTTGATGAATCCAAATGTAGAATTAGGTGACACAACAAAACTTGCTGCAACATGTGTTCGAAACAATGTGAATGAAATAGAATATAAACTAGCAGAGTTGAAAATTAGGGAAGATGTTGCAAGCAAGCAACGCGTTATACTTGACCAAGCCAAAGAGATGAGAAAAATTGGTTGGTGGGAGGATGTAGAAAAACTCAAAACTGATGAGGTGACTCAGTTTGAAGCTTGGCTAGATGTTGCTGATTTTAACATGAAAAATCGTCTGAAACAATTGGAAAATGAAGTTGCATCTAATGCTTCATAAGTAGATTCATCTCTACATTAGTTTTTGAAATTTATTATTTGTTCTGCTTTTATTTTTTAATTAATTTTATTTTCTTTTATATTGATGATGCTAGCTATGATATGTACTCTACAATGATATTTGTTATAAAATATTATTTCTATTTATATTAATATATTTTTTCTCTTACATGTTTGGTCTCATTTTTTTTATGTTTTGTTTTATAAGTATTTCAGGTAAAGTATATTACTCAATTTATTGTGTTTTTGCCTTTTTTGTGATATAAAATTTTAAAAAAAGTTATATGTTTAATTCTTATTGTCACTCATTGATAATTTTTTTTTCATATATTTAATACTTAAAATATATAAATAAAAAAATTACACTAAACATTAGACTTTTGAAGAATACATGGTCAATCATGTAAGAGAAAAAATATATTATTTTAATGAGAATAATATTATTTCATAATAAAGATCATTGTAGAGTACATGTAACAACATCATCAATATAGAATTAAAAAGTTTGTAAAATAAATTGAACCAATAATAGAATTTAAAAAATTAATGTAGAGATAAATCTATTTATGAAGCATTAGATGCAATTTTATTTTTCAAATGTTCCTGAAGATATTTCATGTTAAAATCGGTAATATTTAATCAAGCTTCAAGTTTAATTAACTCATTAGTCTTGAGTTTATAAATATCCTCCCACCCACCAATTTCTTTCATATGTTTCACTTGATCAAGTATAATTGTTTGATTGCTTGCAACATCTTCTCTAATTTTAAACTCTGCAGATTAATATTTGATTTCATTCACCTTGTTTCGAACACGTATCGCAACAAATTGTGTAGTGTTATTTAATTCTATATTTGGATTCAAAAAACGGTGACCAATTGCTTCAGTAGTTGGATGAAAAATGAATAAGGTTTATTCGTTGGAGAAGAAAAAACTATTCCTTTGTCAACATCGTGCTGTTGAATGAGTTCACCAACCACTTTATATAAACTCAATCGGTGTTTCAAAAAGGAGGCATATCAAGCGGCTTTGTTTTATATTTTTTTCATGAAAATATTTTGACGTCTGACAATATTCTTACCCTTCATTACTAAAATAAAATAAACTTTGTTGATAAACTAATTACATGAAATAATACTTATAAGAGATAGAATACCATGATATTTATACACATATATTCTTCCCCCAATATAGATTAATTAAATCTCTCACCTTATTCTTTCTTTTTTGATAGTGCATCTGCTATTCTATTCTCAGCTAGGGTTGGACATAATATGGTTAAAATAAAAAAAATCCAATCGAACCGAATATTTTTAATTTCGGTCTTAATATCATATTTCAATATTTTGATTTTTCGGTTCGATTTTTAATTTTTTTGGCTGAAGAAAATCGATTATAACCGTAATAAACGAAATATATATTTCAATATATATATATATATATATATATATATTCTTTAGTCTTTATATCCTATTAACTAATCAGTATTCAACCCATGCCCCATAGAAGAGAGAAATCCTAAACTAAAATCCCTAACGCCTACGCAGCTCATCCCTCAAGTCTCAACTCTCAACTCTCGTCAGTCACTCTCAGGCCAGCTGCTGCTCAGTTCTCGCAGGCGTCGCAACCCACAGCCCGCAGCCGCTGCTCAGTTCTCGCAGGAGTCGCGCCTCGAAGGTACTAGTTTGTTTTCTCTGTGAATATACTGTATTACTAGTTTGTTTTAACCATTTGTTCGTAAATTTTATTGACTCGATTAATTTGAATCTGAATTTAAATTCATCAGCGGGATAGGCTGCAGGGATACAATGTTCTCCACCTAAAAGTTATCAAGACTCAAGCTTATTTGATATTTTGTAATGAAAATCTTAATTCCACTACTATTTCGCAACTATTCTTTTTCATGTTCCAATATACTCTGATTCATAATCTTTTTTTTTTTAATGCTAAATCAATAATGGAATCTAATAAACTTGTGGAAAACAACACGAGTAGCACTCTAGGAGCTCACATTAGAGTTTTTTTTATTCATTGAATGTAACTATGTGATTATTTGTGTGATCTGTGAACTGTAAATTGTAATGTACTGCGTCTTTCTGTAATTAAGTTGCAACTCTGTTGACATTTGTGTTAAATGAGTATTCATGAAGTAGTGTTGAGTCATGAGTGTCTATCATCCTTAGAATCAGTTTTGTTTGAATATTTTAGTCAATGACATGGTAAGTTGCAAGTTGAATGCTTGTTGAAATTTGAAGGCAAAAGCCAAACTGTATGGCATAGATTGCTGGAGTTTGGAGATTATATCGTTGAGTGTTGACATAGACCTTGCTGAGTTGGGTAGAGCACTTTCTGAAGCTGCAAGCCTAGCTTCTCAGTCCAAGAAACAAAACCATGGTCGTAAATTAACTGCCAAAACTTCATCCCCTGTCTGTGCAGACAGAGTAATTGATAAAAAGTTACCAGGTAATTTCCATTCTGTTTTCCTCGACATTACCTGCACCTTGACATGATCTTTTGCTAGAACCCCTTTTAAATGGTTCTACTTGATATGTTACTGGGTGGTATATGTAAAGGGTTCCCATTTAGCTTTGCTTGATATAAGATGAGCGTGGAACTGTTGTTTGAATCCCCATGGAGACAAAAAAGCTAGGTGATTGTGAACTGTTTACTGGGACGATCGACCCCCCAACATAAATTTAGCACTATGATAGAGAACATTACATTGATAAATGCTATTTATAGATACAGAAAGCCAACTTGTTCTTGTTATTAGCAATGAAACCTTTTAGTTGATAGCAAATAAAAAAATGGATACAGAAATGGCATGTGTGATTGGTAAAATGAATATGTGATTTGTTTGTTGCCTTCCCCTTGTGGGAGGCAGTTGGTGATTCTTGCTGGTTGAGTGATACGTAGATCAGTCAAAGGGCCAATGGATGTATTTACTTATTGTAAAAAAAGTGAGAAAGTGAAATAAATAATCCGTCCTATTTGGAGATTGGTTTTAAAATGATCCTTTAAAAGTCATTCTAAAAAAAATGATCCTTCAATTATACACCTGAGTGGTTTTAGTTCTTTATGTTTAATAAAATTGAGTACTTTTGACGAAATGGCTTGTGAAAGAACATGAGTCGTTTAACGTGTCGGATTCATTTCCATATTCTTACCTTAAGAAAAATCCTATTTGTATAGAGACCAGAAAAATCTTATTTGTACAGAGACCAAAAGTGCTCAGCTGCATATTTAAAGGACTACTTTAAACCAACCCCAAACATAAGAAACTAATTTGTCATTTTCTCTAAAGAAGTCATTGTGTTACGAGAAGTTGACAGCTTACAAAAGTTTAGGTCTTCATACCTTTTAGCAAGTGTTTAAAGTGATACATGAGATCTGCAATTATCACTGGGTAGCATTTGAATGATTATTTTAGCTTTCTGTAGTCTCTGAAAGAAACACTTTTTTTCTTTGGTCACAGTGATTCCTTGCTTCTATATATATGCTGAGGAAGAGAAATTTTCAAAAAAGGATGCTTCTGTCTATTCAAAAAACATCTCATCTCCAATCAAGGACCATGAAAGTGATCCTGATACTAAAGAAGAAACATGGGAGGTGGAAGATTATGAGTACGATAGGGCATTGAATGCTGACAGGGTTTACCTTAAGTTCAAAAAGCGAGTAGATGCATATCCAGAACAGTGTTTCAGGTACAACTTTAAAAAGCCAGCCTTTGTTTACCATGCATAATCTGTACTTCTGAATTTACTTTTAAGTATCGCCTCCTGGAACTTAACATTTTATTTGGTGGAGTAGATGACTTTTGAGAAGCAAACTCTCAGTTTTTTATATACCTTTTAATTTCCCCAAAGCAGCAAGTGAAGTCCAAGTTTAATGTACTTTTGGTTTCTTGATGTAGTGAACTTTCAGCTTATTCTGCTTCTGTACAAGCTTTCTCTTTGATTATCTTATTCATCTCCAACTGTAGCGTATTACTATTTGTACAACTTTAGGCATGTTGAACTGTTCTCATGTTTTTTCTGCGGTGGCATGTGTGAATTTATAGATGCTTCTTAGAGTAGTCGTTGTGACCTTCTCTTTGTTCCCAACTCTTTGAATGCATCAACTCCTCGTCATAAGTGAGAGAGTGTTGACTGGTTGGTTTCTAATGAAAGGCATTTAAGTCTTTTCCGAGTGAGCCTAAGGAGTTTCAGCTCCGTTCAAGAAACTTTTAATTATGGACAGTGATTCTGATTAGTCTGGGTTTGGGACTTGGATCAACTGATCCTTGTAAGTTTTTCCTTGCCAATCTACTGGTTCTGCTTCTTCTTACTTCAGTTTGGCTGAATTTGTCCTGCTGGGCTTCTCGACTGATCTTGAGATACGTCTTATCACTGATGTCCTTTCTCCCATTTTGTTTGCTTGGTTCTGGGCTTGAGCTTCAAACCATCTCAAAATTGGGGTAAATTTTGAGAGTCAATGAATCCACCTTTTCAAACTACATTCAGCTTGTTTCTCGTGACACCCGAGATACATAGGGAACTCTACACAGAGTTTGGTCATACTAATCCAGTCAATCCATTTCCTAGTAGAATCTCCTCGAATTACATATGAACTGATTTCTTGTGTAACTTGAGATATGTAGACAACTCGAAGTCCGGAGTCTGGCCATAGCCCATTTCTTCCGATTTAATCCAATCTACACGCCGATACATAATTGGCTACTACGTCAACATCTTCGCCGGTCTTGGCCTTGCTTCCATCAACATGTGAAAACTGCCATCAAGTACTTATTTTATTAGTCTGAGTATTAATTTATCTTTCATCATAAAACACATCTTAATGCTAACAGTTGGCTGACATACTGTGAGATTGATTAGGATTACACACTGGAAACCACATCTTAGGTTGTACATTCAGTTTTCACCCACTCCCACTGAGCTCAAGGTTACTTTTATTTTTTGTTTACTTTATTGTTTTCTTAGTCAACTGCTAACGCTAACTGTCATTTGTTGGAGACTGGCATACTTTATCCAAAAAGAAGTTAAATAAAATAAATACAGAGAGTATCATATAGTTCTCAACTAGGGTTGGGCATAATATGGTTAAAATTAAAAAAAAATCAATCGAACCGAATATTTTTAATTTCGGTTTTGATCGGTTTCAATTTCAAATTTCAATATTTCGATTTTTTGATTTTTCGGTTCGATTTTTAATTTTTTTGGCTGAAGAAAATCGATTATAACCGTAATAAACGAAATATATATTTCAATATATATATATATATATATTCTTTAGTCTTTATATCCTATTAACTAATCAGTATTCAACCCATGCCCCATAGAAGAGAGAAATCCTAAACTAAAATCCCTAACGCCTACGCAGCTCATCCCTCAAGTCTCAACTCTCAACTCTCGTCAGTCACTCTCAGGCCAGCTGCTGCTCAGTTCTCGCAGGCGTCGCAACCCACAGCCCGCAGCCGCTGCTCAGTTCTCGCAGGAGTCGCGCCTCGAAGGTACTAGTTTGTTTTCTCTGTGAATATACTGTATTACTAGTTTGTTTTAACCATTTGTTCGTAAATTTTATTGACTCGATTAATTTGAATCTGAATTTAAATTCATCAGCGGGATAGGCTGCAGGGATACAATGTTCTCCACCTAAAAGTTATCAAGACTCAAGCTTATTTGATATTTTGTAATGAAAATCTTAATTCCACTACTATTTCGCAACTATTCTTTTTCATGTTCCAATATACTCTGATTCATAATCTTTTTTTTTTTAATGCTAAATCAATAATGGAATCTAATAAACTTTTGGAAAACAACACGAGTAGCACTCTAGGAGCTCACATTAGAGTTTTTTTTATTCATTGAATGTAACTATGTGATTATTTGTGTGATCTGTGAACTGTAAATTGTAATGTACTGCGTCTTTCTGTAATTAAGTTGCAACTCTGTTGACATTTGTGTTAAATGAGTATTCATGAAGTAGTGTTGAGTCATGAGTGTCTATCATCCTTAGAATCAGTTTTGTTTGAATATTTTAGTCAATGACATGGTAAGTTGCAAGTTGAATGCTTGTTGAAATTTGAAGGCAAAAGCCAAACTGTATGGCATAGATTGCTGGAGTTTGGAGAGTATATCGTTGAGTGTTGATTGTTGTAGAAGTTAATGTTGATTGTTGTACAGTTAGTGATCATTTGAACAGCAGCACAGCCCACAGGTTTTTCATATCCAAATGCCATATTTATCTATCTTTCAAATCTAAAAAACAAAAAAGAGGATAGTGGCACATGCATCACATGCATATACCAATATATACTCTTCTAGGAGAAGGGGGATGAAGGTAACTACCTTTATCTTGATGGCACAAGACCCTTGACGAAAAATCTGCGGAAGGTCCTTGTAGTTGATACCAAACTGCTGAAAGAGTATTTCAGTTTGCTCCTGCTTTTGTGTTCCCTGCTTTTGTCGAACACTATTAAGCCTCAAGTCTAGGGTTCTTTGAGTCCAACCATAAATTTGAAAATGATTGTTTAAATGCCTTCAAAAGTAAGTAGATCCAAACTATAAAAATGCAGTTAATCCTACCATGGCCCAAGCTATTATTGCAAAAATTGGTGAATACAACCATCAATCATTAAGAATTTCATCTTTGGAGCAAAAACAAGCAAGATGAAAAAGTATGAGGGTAGAAATTTTTTTTCCCCTAGAGCACTGTTTTGATACAAGAAGAGAACCTAAGGGGAAAGAAGATATAAACAACTAGGGAGGTCATAATTCATCTATAACGATATTGTAAGGAACACATCACATATATGAGAATTGACTGATTGAAAGCATATTAGACAAGGTAGACTCAAATTCCAACAAAAGTGGAAAAAGATTTAAAGATTGGAAAATGCTTTTGTACATTCTTTGAGTACAGATGGAGCACCCATAGCCTAGTAGTCAATGAAGTGGATTGAGAACCATGAGGTCTGAGGTTCAAATCCCAGTAGATACAAAAACACTAGGTGATTTCTTCGCATCTGTCCTAGGCTCCTAGCCTTGGTGGGCAGAGTTAATTGGCTAGTGGGAGGTGACAGGTATCCCGTGGAATAGTCGAGGTGCATGCAAGCTGTTCCAAGGCACCAGGGTTATCAAAACAAAAAGTACAGATAGAGAAAAAGATATATATCTTGTGACTTGACCTATAACTTAGAATCTTCAGTCCAATCCAAAATTTGGCCCCAAGTTTACCCTTAGTTAGCTTCAACTTATGTGGTTCATCTAAATCATATATAGTAAGAGTAAAATTTGGAAAAATGAGCTTCATGATCTAAGTAACACTTCTCAAATGTCACAAGCATAATTTTGTGACATTTATAACTTCACATAAATCTTTTGTTTCAATCAGGTTGTAGCGGCATTTGGGAATGGCGAACAGCAAGTATGAATACGTGAAATGTTTTGAGGTGGAAGACGAAGTAATGTACCCAAATATCATTGTTGTTCAAATTGATGGCCGCGACTTTGGCAGGTAATGAGATGTTTAAATGTTTACGGTTTGCATTTGCCTTTATTTTTTGTCTTCTTATCTTTCTGCAAATTAAGGTAAAGGTGTTGAAATCTAGAGATACCCAGTTAAAATTCTATTGAAGTATAGGTCTGTGTTCAGGTTAAGTGCTAGTTCTTGTCAATTGGTGCTGGTATCTTGTGAATATACTCTTGCTCCTTTTTGGGTTTTGTGGTATTTGATTTTCTAATTTGCATTGTGTTAGAATATGAATATGTTTATACAATCCTACTAGAATAGGAATAAGTTTATACAATCCTAGTAGAATAGGAATAGGTTTATACAATCCTATTTAGAATAGAATAGGAATAGAAATAGGAATAGAAATAGGAATAGTAAATAGTATTCTACTTGGTAAAGGATTGTATTGTAGTGTCTATAAATAGGGTCTCAATGTAATAATATATACACGACAATAATTCAATAATATTCTTCTCCAATATTTCTCACATGGTATCAAAGCAGGGCCCGTCTCACCCGATGTTGGGGCCCCCAAAATCAAAATTGCCCACGCACCAGATGCTAAGCACTGGGCGTGAGGTGGGGTGTTAAAGAATGACAAAAGTCCCACATCGGTGGTTAATGAGATGGGTGGACTCCTTATAAGGCTTAGGCAATCCTCCTCCCTTTGAGCTAGCTTTTGGGGTGTGAGTTAGGCCTAAGACCTAATTTAACACAAATGAAGTCACTAAATGCATATAACTGCTTACCTTCTGTAGCTACTAGCATATAAAAACCACCTGCTACTATATGTGGCAAGTTCGGCCTGGACCAGGACTGGCACACTTGGTCTCTGGCCCAGGGAGATGGTCTGGTTCACGAACCGGATCCTTTCTTAAGAGGCCGGTCTGGGCCAGTAAATTCTGAAGAGTGGTGGACCTGACACTAACTCCTGATTCCTAACCACTATGTGATCTGGTAGTGGACCAATCCGAGCTTCTTCTTTTTAACTTCATTCTACTTTTCTTCTTTATATGATTTTTAACATTATATTTATTTAGTATTAACTAAAATTTGAAATAGAAAAAGAATAACATTGAAGAAAAAAATCGTAAATACGCATGTCATATTATTGAGGAAACAATTCAATTTTTTACTCTCAAACTTAAGTTAATTACAGCACCTTAAGAATCTCTTTCGCCTCCTTTTCTGACTTTCCAGAAAACACCAGCTTCCACAAACAAGTATTGTATTGATTGCTTATATGACCTGTAAGAAGAACCAATATCCTTTAGCATCAGATTTTAAGAACTCAACTCCTCCAGTAACAATTAATTGGAAATATTCAATACGAGAACTCACATTCTGTTTGTCTCCATAGAAGATATGCCTGAAGAACCTCCATTGATGCACAGCTGATAACTCGTGAATGGAATGATGGAGGCACACTTAACTCTTTTTGAGAAAAGAACTCTTTCCATTTGGTTACATATGTAGATGAGAAGAAAGACACAATAATGGATAGTATTTTGCTGCACGTTGAAATTTCTGGTCAGCTAAGAAAAATCATGAGCAACTTCATCTCAAATGAAGAAACTAGGATTATTTTACATCTCTCTTTTCTTTGTCTTCTTGACTAATTCAAGAGGGACATTTTGTATCGTATAATCCATTTTACTCAACTCCACATAAGTATCTTGAAAACAAAAACATATATATGGTGGTCATCTTAGTGAGAAGACAAATGTGTGGACAGCCAAGCTGACCACACCTTAAGATTGTCCTAGTGTCTTCTTAAGAAAAGTTTGTGATCAATCTCTATATTTCCCTAATACTGCTTACTATGCATTTCCTCAAGCCAGCTACCACAAGTGCCTATAGGCTATAGCGATTTGGAGCTGATTTTCCTTCTCATTAACAAAATCTCAAAAATGATTAACAAAAAACAAGAAATATATAACCTAGCTCAACCCCCAAAGCTAGTCATAAGGGAAGGATTGATTAAGACCATATAAGGAGACCAAATTCCTTAATGCCCACCGATGTGGGACTCAACACCCCCGCACGTCAAGGACAGGATATCAGAGAGTGGACAATATAAAAGGGGGTCCAACATCGAAAACAATGAATGGGTTAGACCTAACTATGACACCATGATAAAGTAATGGACCTTGGTTCTAACTCAATCCCAAAAGCTAGCTCATGAGGGGAGGATTGCCAAAGGCCATATATAAGCAAACCATCAATCCATTCCCCTATCAATGTGGCACTCTAACCCACTTTAACTAAAACATGCTAAAGAAGGGGAATTGAAGGACAGTTCAAACTGGTATAGACATGGGCGGTTAAGAAAGAGATAAAAAGTTGATAAACTATCCAAGAGGCAGCAGCATCCCTGAGCATGATTGAATTACCTTCACTGTTAGAGACTGGTTATATAATATACAGTTCCTCAGCAGTCAGCACTAGGACAATGTAACAGTCAAGTTTAAAATAATGACAGATTGTTGGTGTCGGGAATCCAAAAAAAATTGCTGAGATGATTATCTAAAATCAAAGACAAATTGGACATGATCTAGCAAACCAACTGCTGAGGAAGAGATTTGTATATTGTAGTTAACAGAAAAGATGATTCTAGTTGAATCACGTACAAAGTTATCATGCAATCGTTCAAAGAGTGTTCAAGAAGCATAAGACAAGAAAAGTAAACAAGTATTGTTTTATCGCTACTCAAACAAGAGTCAATGCAAGAACAATAATTTTGTACCACACCAGCGATATATGAATACTAACAAGACAAAGTGCATCATTCAAATTACTCGTCCGAAGAGCCAAAAATAATTATTGATAAACACTGATATCAAATTCTTGAGATATGAAATAGGTTACAAACCTTGCTCGCCTCTGGTAAAATGTGGTTTCCTTCTTCAAAACGAAACTACATAAATCGTTGTACCACATTGTCAAGCTTTTCAAGGGGGAAGAAAAAGGGTATAACTGTCTAATAGTAAGAAACGCATCATACCTGTACTCATCAGTAAATCCATACGCAAATATAACATCAGAGAAGTTCTCTAATACCTTAATAGCACAAGCATTCATCAAGTTCAAGGCTTTGTCATCATTCGGCTTCTCAAATCCATGCTTCTCCGAGAAACTAAACATATACAATGTGTGAGAAATATTGGAGAAGAATATTATTGAATTATTGTCGTGTATATATTATTACATTGAGACCCTATTTATAGACACTACAATACAATCCTTTACCAAGTAGAATACTATTTACTATTCCTATTTCTATTCCTATTCTATTCTAAATAGGATTGTATAAACCTATTCCTATTCTACTAGGATTGTATAAACTTATTCCTATTCTAGTAGGATTGTATAAACATATTCATATTCTAACACTCCCCCTCAAGCTAGTGCATACAATTCATGTACCTAGCTTGTTACAAATGTAATTAACACGAGGATCGATGAGGAGCTTGGCAGATATCTGCAAGTTGATCATTCGACTTCACAAAATTGACAATCAATCTCAATGTGCTTGGTCTTCTCATGAAATACTGAATTTGATGCATAATGCCGATAAAATACAGAGTGATAAAATTACAGTGTTGGAACTTCCCAAACCAAGCTTGCAAAGACTGTTTCAGACCATAGAGTGACTTACGTAATCAACATACAAGACTACTAAACTCCCCCTAGCAACAAAATTAGGTGGTTGCTCCATATATACTTCTTCACAATGCAATGGTCGTTGCAAGTGCTCAAAATCTAGTATAAAGTATATGGATCATGTTGGAATCAATAGACGAGTCGATATTAAACAAGTCACCGGCCGAAACATGCTCATATGTCGGAGTATTAGATTTGATGGCTAAAAGTGGTCACAATCTAAGAAATAAAATTATATGGGTCGGAATGATGTCATGACCCAACTAGAAAATAGAAATTATATAGGATAGTTCGAATTGATGGAACGACCCCATTGAAAAAGAGAAATAATATGGGTAGGGTCGGAATGATGGCACAACCCTACGCAAATCAGATTTGAGGAGTCACCGGAAAGACGAATGGAACTATGCAAATCAAATCTGAGGAGTCACCGAAAAGACACATGATGCTATGCAACTCAGATATGAGAAAATAGTTCGAAAAAATCCACGGTACTACACAAATTAAATATGAAAAGTAGTCCGAAAAGATGCACGGTGCTACACAAATAAGATATGCAAAAAAAGGTAGTCACCGGAAGGATGTCACGGTGCTACACAAATTATATATGAAAAAGTAGTCACTGGATTGATGGCACAGTGCTACACAAAAAAGTAGACACCAGAATGATGGCACGGTGCTACAAAAATTAAATATGAAAAAGTAGTCACCGGAATGATGGCACGGTGCTACACAAATTAGATATAAGAAAGTAGTCACCGGAATGATGGCACGGTGCTACACAAATTAGATGTGAGAAAATAGTCACCAGATAGATACACGGTGACCCAACTTTTGCTAACATAATCATTGGCCAGACGGGCAGCATATATGGGTGCCACCCGCCGGCAGCGGAAGCTCTTTAATTCTCTACCAAGTTCGTAGAGGTTCTGATACCATGTGAAATTAGGTCTTAGGCCTAACTCACACCCCAAAAGCTAGCTCAAAGGGATGAGGATTGCCTAAGCCTTATAAGGAGTCCACCCATCTCATTAACCACCGATGTGGGACTTTTGTCATTCTTTAACAATTTGCACAAAGCAAGATGCTTTTTAGAGAAGGTCTTAGAAAATGGCTATTATGTGAAGAAAAAAGTATTAAAGCTCCCAGCAATGGTTTCTGGAGTGATAGCTCTGCATACATATCTATGATCTCCTATGGATTACTCGTCTACAGTTTGTTACCTGGAATTTATGTGTTGAACTCCTTTCGAAAATGTCAATACTTGCACTGCACAGGTTGAGAAGTGTTTCTTAGATCATGAAGCTCATTTTTCCAAATTTTACTCTTGCTATATATGATTTAGATGAACCACATAACTTGAAGCTAACTAATGGTGTCACGCCCCGAGACTACCCAAGACGCGGACACGGGACCTAGGACCACAAGTGATCACAAGCTAACCCTGCTGGCATGATCATGAGTATACTAAAGATAAACTGAATAATAGAAACTGTGCGGAAGCTATAATCATAAATAAATCTAAAATGATGGGGAATACCCATATACTAAATCTGAAATGAATGAAATCTGATGAGTTTAATACAAAGAAAATATTAACTCAATACTAAGCTGAATCTAACTATGCTTGAAATAAGCCTCTAAACTGACTAGAAATGTTGGGACATGCCCCAACTAGATCTAGCAAAACTGAAACTACAGACTAATAGCGATAAAGATAAACATGTCACTAGTCCTCGAGGAATGAGGACTCACCACTGATGCTGCTGAACTGAAGATCAGGAATCGATCTAAGTGTGATATGGATGCTGAGAACCTGAACCTACATCACGAGAAGATGTAGCGCAGAGTATGCGCCAATACTTGAAAGGTACTGAGCATGCAGGATAGAATAACGGTGAAATAATCATATAATTGAACAAGCAATAAAGCAAGAGCATAATCTGAACATGATATAGATACTGAATACTGAACTAACTGAATGCAATGACCAAATTTATAACATGCTGAAACTGAATACTGACTGTACTGTAAATAAGGTCAATGCAATAGAATCTGAGTGAACTGTGGGAGCTACTAATAACCGACAATAAAACCACATGAGCTAAATGTGGAGTCCGATGTATACGCCCCATCGAGAGGACCCAATATACCTGGCCAAAGGTATAGAGGCATGACTGGTGTGATCACTAACTGATATTGCCCACATAGGGGACTTACACCTACGTGGCTCGTAGTTCTGGGACTATATGGGTACGCTGAACCCTAGTCTAACTCGGTATTATGCTACTCCCAATAGATTAAGTGGTTAACACATTATGACTGAGTTTCTGTATATAATGGATAGCTCAAAACTGAACATGCAATCTGAGAATGCAACAATTAATCTGATAATGATGCATTCATAAACTGAGGCATGTATAACTGAATACATTATGACTGAAATACTGAATAGCTCAAAATACTGACATGTAGATACTCATACTTGAAAACTCCTTAGAAATCAATTCAAAATCATATTATACTATGATCATTGATGACTTGGGAAGTCATACTGCATAAACATTGATGGTATGTCTAGATACCATACTATTCATACATTGATGACCTACTCGATTGTCATACTAATCATGTTTTAGAAGCTCTTTCTCAAAACTCATCTTAACTTTCTCAAAAACTCAGTTTAAAACTCAAGTGTTGTCTAAAAAAAAGCTTCTCAAGATTTATAACTCAAAATAGGATTTATGCTGAAATATACTGATAATGTGGCGTTCAAAATTGGAGCATGTATATCTGAATAACTGAAATATTTGACCTAGCATGTGTAATTCAAGAACTAAAGAAATACATAGCTAAGGTTCTGAAATTCATGCAATAAACTGAGCATTAACATGATAATTTGATTTGGAACATTTAAATAACTAATTCATGATGATCTGTTGAAATTCTAGAAACCCTAGGTCTGTTCATAATCATGGAATCAAGAAACTGACTGAAAACTAGGGACCTAATGGGTGAAAGGAACCCACTAGTGAAATCCCACATACCTGGTGACGAATTCCACGGAGAAATCCTTCAATTTCGGGGCTGGAACTGATGGAACCTTGCTGAGTTCTTGAACTAGGGTTCTTGGCCTTTTTCTCCTCTCTTGCTTCTAATTTTCTATGTTTTGATTAATGACTTGACTTAGGTAAGTTCTAGTTATGTTTCTAGGCCTAAACTGACTAAAACCTCATGATTTAGGGTCTAAACGACGTAGCTTAAGGGTCTAACGAAATAGGAAAAGACCAAAAGACCCCTGACTTAACTGCTGTCGGAGTGATCGACGGACGGGACTGACGGGCCGTCATTCAATCGACGGTCCGTAGATTGGGTCCGTAAGTCAAGCCTGCTCGACAGGCCTTCACTAAACAAGCATAACTTTTTACTCAGAGGTCGGATTTTAGCAAACTCAGCGGTGTTGGAAAGAGGATTCAATTATCTATCATATCATAGGTCATGGGACACACAATTCATTTTGTGCTAAGAGTTATGACCATTCGAAGTTGACCCAATTATCAATTTCCCCCTAATTGGCTGCTGGCCTTCACCAACGATCATACCTACGGACCGTGGATCAAATGACAGTCCGTGCTAGTCGGCCGTCGTTCGCGGCTGAAGGATGAAATCTGAAGTGAAACTGAAAGTTGGCTGGCCCATCGACGGAGCTGACTGACGGTCTGTAGGTGGCTTCCGTCAGTGGCACATGCAACTTTTGAAAATCTAGAAATTTTTTTCCTTTATCGAATCTGGAGTGTTACAAATGGTAAACTTGGAGCCAAATTTTGGATTGGACTGAAGATTCTAAGTTATAGGTCAAGTCACAAGATATATATCTTTTTCTCAATCTGTACTTTTTGTTTTGATAACCCTGGTGCCTGGGAACAGCTTGCGTGCACCTCGACTAATTCCACGGGATACCTGCCACCTCCCACTAGCCAATTAACTCTGCCCACCAAGGCTAGGAGCCTAAGACAGATGAGAAGAAATCACCTAGTGTTTTTGTATCTACGGGGATTTGAACCTCAGACCTCATGGTTCTCAATCCACTTCATTGACTACTAGGCTATGGGTGCTCCATCTGTACTCAAAGAATGTACAAAAGCATTTTCCAATCTTTAAATCTTTTTCCAATTCTGTTGGAATTTGAGTCTACCTTGTCTAATATGCTTTCAATCAGTCAATTCTCATATATGTGATGTGTTCCTTACAATATCGTTATAGATGAATTATGACCTCCCTAGTTGTTTATATCTTCTTTCCCCTTAGGTTCTCTTCTTGTATCAAAACGGTGCTCAAGGGGAAAAAAAATTTCTACCCTCATACTTTTTCATCTTGCTTGTTTTTGCTCCAAAGATGAAATTCTTAATGATTGATGGTTGTATTCACCAATTTTTGCAATAATAGCTTGGGCCATGGTAGGATTAACTGCATTTTTATAGTTTGGATCTACTTACTTTTGAAGGCATTTAAACAATCATTTTCAAATTTATGGTTGGACTCAAAGAACCCTAGACTTGAGGCTTAATAGTGTTCGACAAAAGCAGGGAACACAAAAGCAGGAGCAAACTGAAATACTCTTTCAGCAGTTTGGTATCAACTACAAGGACCTTCCGCAGATTTTTCGTCAAGGGTCTTGTGCCATCAAGATAAAGGTAGTTACCTTCATCCCCCTTCTCCTAGAAGAGTATATATTGGTATATGCATGTGATGCATGTGCCACTATCCCTTTTTTTGTTTTTTAGATTTGAAAGATAGATAAATATGGCATTTGGATATGAAAAACACTGTTTTGAAAACAATTGATGTGTGTGCTTTTCTGTTTTGGAAGATTTGTTTTAGGAATTTTTTTTTAAGAATGGTTAAGTATTAAAAAAATTGAGGCAGAAGAAATGGTTTTGCTGGCTTTTCGAACGAGAGAGAGAAAGAGAGAAGACACTTCTGTTTTTGTCCGTCTTTGTTAACAAACTTACCCTAAGGACCGCACACACTCTCTCTTTTTGTTCTAAATTCTTCTCTTTCCTTCTTGCAAAAAGTAAACCTAGCCCTATAATCTTAGAGAAATGTTTTTTTTTTGGGGTAGAATTTAGCAGGTTCTTTAACTTGAAATTAAAATGTTAGTGTACTCATACAGTTAAATGGTACACCTAAAAATGAGTAAGAGTAGTAGTAATTGAACTCCACAGTCTGAGCCTTGTTAAGGTCATCCTATTGTTGTGCTTTTTCATGGAGCAGTTATGTGTAACTCTTATATTTTTGATATAAAAATGGCATGTGCATTAAAGGACTCTTTTGCGGCAAGTAGACATATTCTTTTCATGTTTAGATTTTACCTCTCAATCACAAAAAGACTGACCCAAGCTCTATGCTTAAACCATGAACTCTCACCCCCACCTATAGGGGTGGGAAGGGAAGAGAAGGAGGTATATGCGATGCAGTTTGCTCATCACTATACGTGGATACTTCATATCATGCATCTTCATGTCCAGGGGAGGAGCCACCTTATACTGAGGGGGTTCGAACCCCTTTCGGCGGAAAATTATCTTATTTATACATGGTTAAAATATTTTTTTATGTATATATGGTAGATGTCGAACCCCCTTCGACTACTTCGTCTGTCTATTTCTACAAATTTTGAACCCCTTATTGAAAATTCCGGCTCCGCCACTGTTCATGTCCACTTTGACAATTTATATTATCCATTTTAACACAGGTGGACGATATTGTGAAATACCGTGAAGCTGGCACTCCTGTTAAAAGACCAAGGAAGAAAGCAATCATAGCTCACTCAGAAAATGTAGCAACAAAAAGGTTCTGGAATAACTACACATGCCTTACCGAGGAACTTGGTTCGCTCGCTGAAGGGATTAACAAGATTAAACCCGAGTATTTGAGGTCTTTCCAATTTGAAAGCAGGTTGATGTTATCTACTTGGATTGTAGTCCGGGTAGACGGTTGTCATTTCCACAGGTAATTTATGCCTTTATTTCTGCCAATTGGTCTTCTCTTTACTTTTTAATGACCTTTTGCTCGACTTACCAAGAAGTGTTGATATCATTCTTTGTTGATTTTTAATTGCGCTTGTCTTTTTCTTTTTCCCTTTTCCAGTTGATACCTTTTCTCTTGTATGTGATGCTCTTTAGACTAAATTATTCGTTTTGCTTCAAATCCCACGTTTCATGTCAAAATGATGTGGCATTATTCTTGCTTCTTATTTTCATCAAGCATAAAAGTTTTGTAGGTAATATGCCTTTTCTGGATAATATAATCCATGTTTCAGTGGGAGATGGTTTTTCTTATATGCCTATTTTCTTTATCAAGTCTGGATTTCTACCTCCGGATTAAAGAAAAAACTCCAAGCACTTCCCAAGATAATTTTCTATTATGACCTGGAAACAACAGTGAAGTTGTACAAAACATTCCGGATCCATAAAAAATGTCAGACACAAGTGCACAGTTGTAATATATGCATACACGTTTATAAAATATATATATGTAATTTCACAAGTATAAAGTCATGTCAAATATTGAGCATGTAATTTGAAAAATCTAGTTTGGACTTGCTGGTTTCATGATCTTGATGGGATCCACTGTAGGTTTTGTGAAGATAATGGCTTTCAGAAGCCAAATGATGAACAGGCACTGAAACTTATGAACTCTTGTGCGGTTTCTTTGCTGGAGATGTTTAAGGACATTATCTTTGCATATGGGATGAGTGATGAATACAGGTATTAGTTCATTTAACATCTTTGATTCACTTTTAACATACCTTTTCCTTTTCCTATTATCTTTTATCTTGAGAGATCAATTTTTCTCTCAGCTTTGTTTTGAAGAAAGATTCTCTATTGTATCAGAGGTGGTCAAGGTAACTCTTTCATCACCATTCTTAAGTTCCTAGGTAAGTGTAGTGTTTAGCTAAAACCTCATATTAGGAGGGAACCAATTCAAGGTCAAAAGCAAATTCTTCTTCCTGTTTCTAGAATCCATGATGCATATAGATTATTTTGACACCACTCAGCTGCAGTTGCCAACCTGCAAGAACATAGTGCAATTATCTGTGAACAACATGCTAAAAGATCCTGCAAATTCATTTCTTGTGCGCAATGTGAGTTTTGTCAGAACGTGTCCTATAAAATGCTTGGTTGTCTGAATGGTGGAATTTCCCTTCTAGAATATTTTGCATTTGTAGTAAATCTCCTACATACAACGATTTCTCAAAGCTTTTTCATTAATTTGTTGAAGTTTCAGGGTAGAGTCTATTTGGCAACTGTATGAGGGCCGTTCTCAACTAGTTTACATAATGTTTTTATATTGACTTTTTTTGTCGGTTATATTTGATGTAGTTATATTGACTTGCTCTTATGATCATCATTTCAGTGAAATCGTCTCAGCTGTTGTATCTCTTTTCTCTTCCATGTATGTGATGAAGTGGAAAGAGTTTTTTCCTGAGAAAGAGTTTAAAGAACCACCTTATTTTGATGGACAATCTGTTTGCTATCCATCATCTGAGATTCTTCGAGATTACTTGGCTTGGAGACAAGTTGATTGTGAGTACTCCCTATCTTATTTGTTATATAAGAATTTCAAGCAAATTAATCTGGTTATATGAAGAAATTTGGGTTTTATGACCTATTCTTCTTGCTGGCAAGCTAAAGAATGAATTGTATCATTTTAACAATCTTATGTCAATATATTGACCTGTAGGTCACATAAACAATCAGTACAATACTTGTTTCTGGCTGCTTGTTAAGTCTGGAAAGAGCAGAACTGAAGCACAAAGCTCTCTGAAGGTGTGGTATCTCATTCCTTAATTTATGGCGCAGGTCTCTTGTTTTTAGATGTAGCAGCATGATCAATTATAATATGTGATTCTATGGATTATTTTTCTGTCTAAATCTTCTGGATAATCTTATTTACGCCATAGGCACCTTGAAGAAAATAGTCTTGCAGCCTGTAGTGGTGGAAGTATCGGTATACTTGTTGACATCACACATTTTGTGTTTAAGGGTGTGATTTTTTGACTTATAGTTCTGATAGCCAGAAAGCTGAATGAAAATACATATAGTTAGTCTTTTCTTTAAGTTTCTTCTCGATTTTGCAGTTTCCTTATTTGAGCCTAGCACATCGCAAGCACTTAGGTTTTTTGAAAGGTACAGTTAAAATTTCTGTTCAAGCTATCACTTAGTTTTTGAACACTATTCCGGGCATGTATCTCTTGGAGGAACATAGTTATAGAAATTGAGATTTTCACAAAGATGAGATTATGTTAAAAGCATAGGCCGACATACTATGTGAACTCTAACAGCACTGAAGCCTCAATCACTAATGATAAAGTTCTCATCTACATGATTGTGACACATAATAGTGTAAATGGATATTTTTTTTTGTAATTTGATTCTGTAGAAATCAACTATGCACCTTAATTTAGACTGTCAGCATTGATTTGACCTTGATAAAGTAGATCTGTTAGTGCATATCTCTCATCCTGTTCCGATCATACGCAAGCAGGTTTCACTATTGAGAGTAATCTTGATATTCCAATGACCACATTAACCCTTTTGTTCTGCAGGGTACTCAAACTCAAGAAAAAAATGAATTGCTTGCCAAGTTTGGCATTGATTACAATGCGTTGCCAATTATCTTTCGGATGGGGTCCTCTGTTTTCCGGGACAGAGTAAATCTCTCCCTCTCTCTGTGCTGAAGATGTTATGTTTGCTTGAAGTACTTTATGTTGTTTTTGTTGATATTGTATACCAAGCCTGTATCCTTTAGTTTTAGGCTTCTACCACCATATGGATAATAAACTGTGTGTAACATAAATATAGTACCTTACCGTGTTTTTTGGTTCTTGTCATTAATGTGATAATTAACTCCATAATGAGCATGTTTTCATCTAAATTGGTCCTGGCCTCATCTGTATTCTTCGTATTTCAGAAGCTACACTTGGTACATAAGTTCATTTGCAACACAAGTGCCATTGTTTTTGACTTCTATTACAGATCAAACTGATGGAGTGGGTATTCACTTTTACTTTTTGCTTCTGAACCCAGGATGAACCAACAGGAAATGACAGAGTAGTTGTTGAACACTGTAACATAATTGAGACGAGCTTTTGGAAAGAACATCCAAGAATACTCGATGAGGAGGAATCATTGCTAACAATTTTACGGCCCCATAGCAATAAAATGCTTCGATTGTCTTGAAGTTGAGGAGCTGCTACCTAAGTTATTAACCATATCCAGTTTTAATCACATTAGAAAAATAGTTCCAAACTTTGTCAAATATGTAGATTAGCCATTTGATTTTGATTTTTTCCCTTCACTCTTTTTCTTCTTTTAGAGATTTGTCTAACAGAACTCTCCTGTATATTGCAGTTCACTCAAGTTCATTTAGTAAACAAGATTTTTGTGTTGTATCACATTCTATATATATTTGTTCTCATCTTCTTAGCATACAGTTGGGGACTCCTAAAACAGGCATAATTGGAGAATTTGCCTTCCATTCTTTTTGAAAAGTACTTCATCACAAGAAGGAAAAGTAAAAGAAAAGAAGGTAAATCGAAGGATAATTGCGTGGTGTACCCCTCAAATTTATGTAAATGGCAGCACTTGGCATTGAGAACACTATAATTTTACAACAGGATGTTACAACATGATTGACCTATCAATAAACTATACATAACACATTCATTTTTAACAAAAAAATGCAGGCTCCTAGACTGAAGAATGTGTCTGCTCATTGACTTGAATTTTAGAATGCAGACTTGAGCCATCTGGAATCCCCAATGGTGCATTTTCACATGAACAGTTATCAACATTGAATAGCTCCCACTCTTTGATACCACATCTATCCAATGCAGATATCAACCTTTGTTTTTCCTTCTCAGCTGGATATTGTCCATCTGGGCTGACAAGAACTGCCCCAGTATATGACTGCCCCGCCACTCGTGCAGCTCCATGATAGTGGAACAGACCCCAGCTCAAATCATCAGAAACATCCACAATTGTCCAGAACTCGTTAGAAACAACTCCATTATCCAATACACTGAAGTGAAATGTTCCGGTAACTTTTCCTCTTTTCACTCTATACTAACGCCTTCTCCAGACAAGGTCTCCTTCAAGTGTTCTTACCTGGAAAACTGGTTCATACCAGAATGATCCTCTAGCTTTTCCCCGATAGAATAATTGGTACTGGCATGGAAATTGATCATAAGCTGGATTCTGCCCTGCTACAACGCGCCAACTCCATTCCAATGTCCCTAACCAACCAACAAAGAGGTCTTCAGCAATTTCAGAAGACAATTTCTCCCCTCGAAACTCTGCCATTGGAGTCACATCAGGCTTTTCAGGGATCTTTGCATCGAGTTCAAGACAATTATTCTTCTGTAGTACACAGAGAGAGAACTCTTCCAGGTATTTTCTCTCATATGAAGCAATACAGCGATAATTGCATACCTGATCTACAGGGCTGCAGTTGTTCAAGCATTGAAGTGCCTTCCTACAGTTAGGATCCAGTAGACAGTTCAATATCTGAGGCCCGCAATTTGTCACCATGCAGTTCAAGGTTGAGAATCCTTTTGCTCTAAGGTTCTTCAGCGTTGAAACCGGTGTTATATAAGCATTAATTATAACTAATAAGCAGAACCGTATGTCATCAGAATTATGCCTTTCCCAAGCGTCAAACACTGTTCGGGAAAAAGAATACTAAACAAGGTACTAGTAATACACAAAGCTAATACATGCATTATTTTATCTAATACACTCTGCCACACGACCCCTTAATGAGTTAACCTTTAAAACATGTAATAGTGTTTATTCAATCTGGTTACTTAAGTAAATTTAAGGTAAATGTTTTGCACTAAACATGTAAGAGGGTGGTTAAATTGCTAGATCCTCGAGGTGAATTTTGAATCCGCTAAACCACTTAGCCAACCTCTAGTCTTGTGTTTAGGGGATTCAAAATCTATATATTATTTCATGTAGATTTTTAGTTGTAGTATTTTGTTTAGAACTATTTTGTTCCTGTTTGTTGTTTTTGTTACTATCTATTGCCTATTGTACTTTCATTATGCCTTTTCCAAGACTGATTTTGCCTTGAGTCGGGATGTATCGAAAACGGCCTCTCTACCTCAGCACTGAGGTAGAGATAAGGTTTGTGTACACTCTACCCTCCTCAGACCACACTAAGTGGAACTATACTAGGTATGTTGTTGTTGGGGTTCGGATGAACACCCTCGCCCCCTCCTAGATCCTCCCTGACTGGAGCATGTACACATTTTACACTGTCATTCCATACAACTTAGATTTATTAATGTTTGTTGTATGGTTGCTTTTGGATTTTTGGTTCTGGAATGGTTGTATGCTATTTTCCTTTTATGTTGGTTTCCTTTAGTCAAGTTTTATTATATTCTTTCCATGGGTTTTAAGAGATCTTAGATCAAGATGTATACCAATTGCAATATAGGAATTGTGTTGAAGTTGTTATAAAGTAGTCTGTGATTGCTTTTAGGTGAAGCTCAGATTGGTCTAAATGTGACTCCACACGATCTGAAAACAGTGGCAAGTGAGGTATGGTATGGGAAGGAAAGTGGGAAGTACACAATGAAGCAAAATGGAGTTTCAGTTGTTTACAGTCAATTGTATCCATTTGAAGGGCTATGGAACTACACTTCTGGCATCATTCATCATGTGAAGATTGATGGTAAGGTTATCTGCATCGAGCCGCTTCATATGTTCCCTTGGCTCACTTGTCTTCTTTTTCTGTTTTCCTGATTCAAACTGAGATCCATGTCTATGAAAAGAACACATTTTTGCAAATGTTTTCACTATTCTTAGTTCTGTTAGTATACTGGAAGCTGAATATATGTGTACATGGCTCTGGTTGCCTCTGAATTACGAGTCTTTGACGTGTAGGATTAATAAAACGATGTATAAGTTGCAATGAAGTAATTTCTTTTCTTCTGTAGGTCTTGAACCTGAAACAAAGTATTACTACTAGTGTGGTGATAGTTCTTTAGCAGCAATGAGTGATGAACTTGAATTTGAGACCTTTCCATTGCCTGCACCTAACAAGTATCCACGACGAATAGCAGTTGTTGGTGACTTAGGTCTTACAAGCAATACAACCACAACAATTGATCATCTCATAATGAATGATCCTTCCATGATATTGATGGTTGGAGATTTAACTTACGCGAATCAATACCTTACCACTGGTGGTAAAGGAGCTTCATGCTATTCTTGTCAGTTTCCAGATGCACCAATAAGAGAAACATTTCAACCTCGATGGGATGGATGGGGAAGGTCATCTATTCTTTTCCTCACATAACTAATCTCCTTAGTCTTTTAAAACTTTTTAGCTCTATGCAATTGTCTGTTTCAGGTGTGAGGTTCATGTTGATGCTAGTTACACTATTCACCGAGTTTTTGTCAAATAGACACATTGTGGTTATGAACCACAATCTGCTAAACATCATATTATATATGCCTATGAGACAGAAAAATGAACTGTTAGAAAATGGAAAAGAAGCTTAAAAGCTTCGGAGAAGAAGTTTGAATTGAATAAACTGGAGTTTCAGGTTTATGGAGCCGTTAATCTCAAGAGTTCCAATGATGGTTATCGAAGGAAACCATGAGATCGAACCTCAAGCAGCAGGGCTCACATTCCAATCGTATTTGACAAGATATTCTGTTCCTTCAAAGGAATCTGGCTCTAATAGTAACCTTTACTACTCTTTTAATGCCGGAGGAATCCATTTCATCATGCTAGGAGCCTACGTTGACTATAATCAGACGAGTAAGTCATTAAATTGCTTAATTCACTGCGTGTTAACTTCTAATATTTGAGGTATACTTGCATAAAGAAAGATAATGCTGCAAATATGTGAGCTTATTGCCTACTGATCTTACTAAATTCTGTATTTTTTTAAAAACTGATATCAGGTGCTCAGTATTCTTGGCTTCAGCATGATCTGGAAAAAGTAGATCGTGGCGTGACTCCTTGGCTGGTGGCTGCATGGCATTCTCCTTGGTACAATAGCTATTCATCGCACTACCAAGAATTTGAGTGCATGAGGCAGGAAATGGAAGAAATGCTATATACATATCGCGTTGATATAGTTTTCTCCGGTCATGTAAGTTGAAATATACTCCTAATCCTGGCTATTAATGATTGAGAAAATTTCAATTAGGACTTATCTCAGGTACATGCATATGAGCGAATGAATCGAGTCTACAACTATACTTTGGATCCATGTGGTCCTGTTTACATAACAGTCGGAGATGGTGGTAATATTGAGAAAGTCGACGCTGATCATGCAGATGATCCTGGTAAATGTCCTTCACCAGGTGACAACATTCCAGAATTTGGAGGTGTATGTCACATGAACTTTAGCAGTGGACCTGCCAAAGGAAAATTTTGCTGGGATAGACAACCAGAATGGAGTGCATATAGAGAGAGCAGCTTCGGGGCACGGGATACTGGAGGTATAAAGCCAGAGCTTCAACTGTATTACTTACTTTTCTTATTCTAGAGGCAGTGATTGAAAGGAAACATATGCAACAAAAAAAAGTCATCGCGTTGATTGTGTATCAACTTGCTTAGGTGTTTTATCATCTGATCCATAGACATGTCGACACTCTTAACTTAGTCCTTCGTCTTTATTACCATTATCATCGATCTTTATTTTTCGTTCAACACTCTCTTCTTCTCCATTCATACTGATGCAGATGGTAAATTCAACTCATGCGTTGTGGACTTGGCACCGCAATCAGGTTATTTATCGTAAAAACAGTCATGGTGATCAAATATACATAGTAGGACAACCTCATACTTGCTCTGTTGACTCAAAGGTACCCTTTCATCTACCTCAAAGGTGATTATATATGGACATTCTCTTTTTCAACTATGGATTTACTCAAAGGTGATATACTAATAAAGTGAAGTAGTTATGGAGTCTATTGAACAGTTAGAGTTTGACGGTTAAAATACCCTATTATTACTAGCTATGTTGCTCGGACTCTCCAAAACTACTTCTTTCATTCTAAGACTAACTTCAGACAAGATGAAAGTTTTCTTGCAAATCTGCTTTATGGCCTATATAAGAAACTGTGATCGTTACGTTGCATCTATATCTTCACATGATTCTCTTGAAAAGATAAAAGAGAGACAATGATCTAAATGATTAACTATCAGTTCTACACCATGTAACCAACCATCTATAGCTAGCTCTATTTTTCGCGTTTATCATATCTTTAGTACACAAGTCTGAAATCTCAATCATCAAGTTGTTGATGTGTCATAGTAGTGACTAGAACTATGTGTTTCTTCTACTTTTCTTTGTAAAATCTCTTTAAGGACTTCCAGTCCAGTTAGTAACTGTTGTTGCAACCATCTATAGCTAGCTTTATTTTTTGCGAT